TCAAGTGTTCCTTTCCCTGCAAAGAACAGAAAAAGAGATGGCCCTGGGACTGAGGGAAAGATAACTGACACATCTAAAGGAAGATTGCAGCAATCAACTTCAAATTCATCAAATGGTGGACAATATCTTCTTGTGTATGGGTTTAAGTAAACTCCTTGAAGAGTATCAGGAGCACCCTGCAATGAAGTAACCAAATTATACATTATCAAATTGGTAATAAGATTTCTTCACGGGTTAGCATTTACAAATAAGGACTTGATGATAGAGTTGGATGTCTAAAATAAATGTCTAAAATAAAAACAGACGAGATAATTAATATATCATGCTATAAACAGTTGAATCTTAAAATGTAAGAAAGAGAAAGCAGTAGCTGCATGCAAGTTAAAATTACTAATTGAAAATTTAAGCGTGTTTCCCTTCTCCTGGAAGTTCTACAAAATGTAACAAGAGAAAAACTCTATGCATCCACAAAATATATGAACTACTAAAGCTACAACAAAAGATGAGAGGTCCTTTCTGAGTCTAAATTAACCATTTTATGTAGAGAAACAGGATAATTACCTGCTTATACTTGAGCATGGAAAGGAGTGTTGGAATATCCCGCTGTTTGGAAGTAAGGCCAGCTCGAACAACATTGTCAGAAGTTGCCATACACTCAATGCAATCTCCCGAGACATATGCATGTGGTTCATTTGGTCCTAGATATAGTGCTTCACCACGTTTCAACTTCACATAGTTCAGGAAAAATGCTGCCATGACACCTGCATCAGCAGGATATTGACCTTCTAGTCTTAGCACCAACTGTTCCTTCTCTGTCAACTGCCTTTTCTGGTCCAATAATGTATTTATTCACGGTAAAAAAACAACAAGAGGATAAAAACATTTGGATAAAAGAAGAAAGAGAGCTTACATGTAAAATGACCTCAATTTCATAGCTGAATTAAATATGATGGATGCTAATCACATCTAACAACTCAAGCCCAAAAGATAAATTGCTCTGATATCAAAATGTTCATACGAATCATATAACGCAAACCAAACAGTTCTGCTTGTAATGACTAGTCATTTTCTATCAAATACAGACATCTTGCACCATCTTTCCTATGGCCTCTACCAAACAAGCTGTTTTCTGTACTGCTTACTCTGTTATACTACGCATGTGCAGACCATGTTTAGTTTGCCAATTACTCATTCAAGTTGTAAAATAGAAAAGGGAGATTTAGAAAATCAGCAAAGATAGTGCTTGCCTTTTAGATTGAAAGCCACACAACTTAGACTTATATGTGAAATAGAATTATTATAAGAAAGCCAGTCATCTGCCTATCATGTGTGTGGCTCTAGTTTTCCCCAATCCCCATTCAAACTGATGGAATAGAAATGTATGCATCCCTCCCCTCACAAGTCCTTGAAGGGGTAACAATAGGAGATAACAACAGTAAAGCATATTCCAGAATCACAGACTAAAGGGCCTAACCTTTGAATAGAGGTACTTAATATACCAAAACTCTTGTTCTTCTCATTGTTATAACAATTTGCACTCTGATCTCAGGGATGCTTCATTTCATCATGTCCGACCAAATACACCTCTAACTATTGCAACCGGCTTAAAGGAAGACCAATTCCTTAAACAAGGACCCAAAGAGGAAACAAGGAAACCAGCCTGGCTAGAGGTCGATAGAAGTTTAGTTCTGAAAGTTATTCCTGAGAAATGTATAAAAATTTGCATGGAAAGAATATAGACTAAGCTAATCAGATACGAGTCCCAATCACTGCTTCTATTATGGTATTGAAGTCAAAACTGAAATAAACTTATATCATATGAGAAAGAGAATTGCAATGGCATGTCATTGATGGAAGATATAGCAATCTTTGGAACTCCCAAGTTCTCATCAAAAGTTCTTTATTTATTGATCTTGCAACTTAATTTGGTGAAATGACAGTTATATAAAGAAAGCAAAAAACTCCTGCCTACATATGTATACAGTTTACTAATCAACCATGATGTGAATAAAAATTTTGCTATATATTTAAATAAAGAGTAATTTGGCATTACCTCCTCCTCCAAACTCAGACGTTTCTTCATCTTGGATATCATCTGAGTAATTTCATCTTTAGTGGACAACATAAGTCGACTAAAAATGGATTGTAAAATCGCTTTTCCTTCCTGACTTCCCTTCTCATTAATGAAACATGCAAATTGCTCTTTATCTGCACCCCTAACCAATTCTAAAGTCTCAGGGACATTACAGAAGACATCTTTAAGTTCCTGAAAGGCAACCATGACATAAATGCACCTAATTATATCAAAATGCAAGGAGCTTTCAGGAAAATTCACTTTTCAATTTCCACACTTTCCAATCAAGAGCTCTTGAAAATGAAATCACAAAAATGTCCTCTCTTTTTCTTTTCTTTTTTTCATTTTTTATACAAAATAAATATGATGTACAATCACTAGTGGAAATCTCTCTTGCAACTATTAACCCTGTGGAGGCCAAAAGGAAGCAAAAATTTGTCCACTATTGCCATTTTCAAAACTAGAGTTCCTTTGACAAATCATTAGACTTTTAGTTTAAGCAATTGACAGGTCCCACTCCCATATAAGATTTAGTAATCCTTCATGACCGATCCAAACTATCAGCCTGAGAATTCATTACACCACTCCAAAGTATCGCAACAAATTCATTAAAGTTCTCTCCTTTATTCCATTTTTTTTTTTTTTACTAAACAATGACTTATCACCAAACTTAAGCTTAGGACCCGCAAAGTAATCATACCAAGCTCAATATGAAAACAAAAAGATCACATTCAGATTGGATGTTTACCTTGGAGCTAATAAAACCACGCAATGCCTCGAATTCAGTAAGCGCCAACGCCATCTCAGGCTTGTGATTCTCATCCCTGTAAACATCAGGCAGCGACTTATGGAGCGCTCTCGCTAATTCCTTATCTGGGTGAGCTTGTAAAGACAGCGCCTTCTGGACAGAAAGCACCTGTAACCAAGAAAAAAATAATCAACACAGAAACAGACAAAAAAAAAAAAAACGAATTGTTAATGAAAATTCAGAGAAAAGGAAACAGAACATGAAAATCATAGAAGACCTTAAATAAGAATGGAAGATCCGGCCCCCACTTTTCCAACACCTTGTCGCCAAGCACATGTGGATTCTCTGATAGCCACGACTTGAGGGGGACGGGATCCAAATAGGGCACTGCTCCATTTCCAATACCCTTTTGATTTTCACACCCCTGATCGACGAAGGATGGCCCTGATTCATGGGTTCCAATCCAGAATTCGGCGTAGGGGCTGTGGGAATCGATGGCGGAGCCGGAATTGAGAGCAAACAACTTGGCCACCAGGGAATGGTTGCCGATTTTTCCCCAGTCGTAGTTTTTGAGGGAGCAACGCAATCTCAGTGGGTTGTTGACGTTCGGCTTTCTATTATGATGGAGATTGGCGGCATCCATATGGACGTAGCTACTGCAATTGAGTTTCCCGGGAATCTTTTCGCGTCTAGAT